GACAAATTTTCACTCAACTAGCAGATATCGGAGACAACGAGAAATGAAAATATTCTAGATCTGGTCTTTACGAACAATGAAGACATTATCAGGGACATTATGATATCAGATACCACATACTCAGATCACAAGCTCATTGAAGTGCAAACGACCATCAATACTCAGAATAGACCTAAAACGTTGATGAAGCGAGAGGGGTTATTCAGTAAATTCAATTTTAATAATAAAAGGATAGACTGGGAGATAATAAACAGGGAACTTACAAACATTCCATGGGGAACTGTTCTAAGTAATACAAGTCCTACAGAAGGAATAGAAAAACTGACTTCGGAAGCGTATCAAGTCTGTCTGAAACATATTTCTTTGAGGAAAGCCAGAAAGAGATCTAACGTAGAAAGAGAACGCAGACGACACTATAAAAGAATGAAAAAATAACGAAAATACTTATGCAGACACGAATTTCCCGTCAAAGAAGGAATAATTTAAATAGGGAGATTGAAGAAATCGAGCGGAAATTGAAACACTCATATCAAACTGAAGAAAGGCAGTTAGAACAGAAAGCAGTTCAGGAAATAAAGAAAAACCCAAAATACTTCTTCACATATGCAAAATCAAAGGCAAAAACCACTGCCAGTATTGGACCTATTCGTACAAGTGAAGGTTCATACACGGAGGATGACAAAGAAATTAGTGAAATCCTAAAAAGCAGTATGAGGACATGTTTAGCACTCCAATAAACAACATGAAAGTGGAAGATCCAGACAATTTCTTTATGCGGGATATTCAAACCCCTGTAAACATAACTGATATCAACACGAGCGCACTAAATTTTGAAAGAGAAATTGAAAACATGGCCATGCACTCGGCCCCAGGTCCAGACTCATGGAATTCAATATTTATAAAGAAATGCAAAGTGGCGGTAGCACAGGCACTCAGTATAGTGTGGAGGAAGAGCTTGGACTCGGGGAAGATACCAGATGCACTTAAAGTAGCAGACATAGCCCCTCTACACAAGGGAGGGAGCAAAGCATTGGCAAAGAATTATAGACCAGTTTCACTAACGTTGTACATATTAAAAGTATTTGAGAGAGTGATTAGGAGTCAGGTCACCAATTTCATGGAGACCAATGACCTTCACAACCCAGGCCAAGATGGATTTCGAGCGGGAAGATTGTGCCTCTCACAGCTACTTGATCACTACGACAAAGTCACTGAGGCATTAGAATAAAAACAGAATGCTGATGTGATATACACGGACTTCGCAAAGGCTTTCGATAAATGTGACCATGGCGTGATAGCACACAAAATGAAGTCAATGGGAATAACCGGTAAAGTAGGACGCTGGACACTCAGTTTTCTGTCAAACAGGACTCAGCGAGTAACAGTCAACCATATAAAATCTATTCCAAGAGCAGTTAAAAGCTCTGTACCTCAAGGTACAGTCCTTGCACCGCTGCTTTTCCTTATTCTCATATCAGATATAGACAAAAGTACAAGTCACAGTTTCATATCATCCTTTGCAGATGACACAAAATTCAGTATGAAAATTACCTCGGCTGAGACATTAAAAAACTTCAAGCTGATATTAATAAAGTTTTCGACTGGGCAGCAGAAAATAACATGATGTTTAAAAGTGATCAATTCCAGGTACTCAGGTACGGTATAAATGAGGACCTTTAAACATAATACAGAGTACAAAATACAATCAAATCTGCCCATAGTAGGAAAACAGCATGTAAAGGATTTGGGAATAATAATGTCTGACGATCTAACGTTTAAGGAGCATAACCAAGAAAATATTGCGTCAGCCAGAAAAAATGATAGGATGGATTACCAGAACTTTCAAATCCAGGGATCCCATCACAATGGTTGTACTCTTCAAGGCACTTGTGTTGTCCCGTCTTGAGTACTGCTAAGTACTCACTTTCCCCTTCAGAGCAGGAGAGATTGCTGAAATATAGGGAATACAGAGAACATATACGGCACGCATAGACGCGATAATGCACTTCAATTATTGAGATTGTCTCAAAGCTCTCTAAATGTACTCAATAGAAAGAAGACGAGTGAGATATAAAATAATATACACGTGGAAGATACTGGAGGGATAGGTCCCAGATATGCATAGTAAAATAACAACGTACTGGAGTGAACGATATGGAAGAAAATGCAAAATAGAACCAGTGAAGAGCAGAGGTGCCATAGGCACAATCAGAGAACACTGTATAAACATCAGAGGTCCGCGGTTGTTCAACGTCCTCCCAGCAAGCATAAGAAATATGCCTGAGTAGTAGAACTCCCAGAACCCCATCAAGCAGATCAAGCAGGAGCTGCTCATATTGGCTCCTTAAGGAAGGTGGGGTCTTTTAATGATCGTGTCATATCTTTTCTTTGAGGAAATTGCATTCGGCTTGCTTTTAGGAAGATTTGTCTCCTGGGCGGCTTGGTGATGTGGGGGAGGGAGGCAGGCGGCCCCTTGGTGATGTGGAGGAGGGAGGCAGGCGGCCCCTTGGTGATGTGGGGGAGGGAGGCAGGCGGCCCCTTGGTGATGTGGAGGAGGGAGGCAGGCGGCCCCTTGGTGATGTGGGGGAGGGAGGCAGGCGGCCCCTTGGTGATGTGGGGGAGTTAGGCAGGCGGCCCCGTGGTGATGTGGGGGAGGGAGGCAGGCGGCCCCTTGGTGATGTGGAGGAGTGAGGCAGGCGGCCCCTTGGTGATGTGGGGGAGTTAGGCAGGCGGCCCCGTGGTGATGTGGGGGAGGGAGGTAGGCGGCCCCTTGGTGATGTGGGGGAGGGAGGCAGGCGGCCCCTTGGTGATGTGGGGGAGTTAGGCAGGCGGCCCCGTGGTGATGTGGGGGAGGGAGGCAGGCGGCCCCTTGGTGATGTGGAGGAGTGAGGCAGGCGGCCCCTTGGTGATGTGGGGGAGTTAGGCAGGCGGCCCATTGGTGATGTGGGGAGGGAGGCAGGCGGCCCCTTGGTGATGTGGAGGAGTGAGGCAGGCGGCCCCTTGGTGATGTGGGGGAGGGAGGCAGGCGGCCCCTTGGTGATGTGGAGGAGTGAGGCAGGCGGCCCCTTGGTGATGTGGGGGAGGGAGGCAGGCGGCCCCTTGGTGATGTGGGGGAGTGAGGCAGGCGGCCCCTTGGTGATGTGGGGGAGTGAGGCAGGCGGCCCCTTGGTGATGTGGGGGAGTGAGGCAGGCGGCCCCTTGGTGATGTGGGGGAGTGAGGCAGGCGGCCCCTTGGTGATGTGGGGGAGTGAGGCAGGCGGCCCCTTGGTGATGTGGGGGAGTGAGGCAGGCGGCCCCTTGGTGATGTGGGGGAGGGAGGCAGGCGGCCCCTTGGTGATGTGGGGGAGGGAGGCAGGCGGCCCCTTGGTGATGTGGGGGAGGGAGGCAGGCGGCCCCTTGGTGTTATGAGAAGTCTTGATGAAATAATGTAAGGGGAGGAGTAGGTCTGGGTGAATGAGGGGGAGGGGGAAGATGAGGGTGATGTAGGTGAAATGGGGCGTAGGTCTGGTGAAGGGGGAGGCGAGGGCTGGTGAAGGGGGAGGCGAGGGCTGACTACTATTAATAACGTTTAAGCGTGATGTGTAGAATGATAAGTTAATGAGTGTTGTGGGAGAGGCTTATACGACTCTGTATGTGGGGGATGCTCCCACGACTCTGTATGTGGGGGATACTCCCACGACTATATGTGGGGGGATGCTCCCACGACTCTATATGGAGGGGATGCTCCCACGACTCTATATGTGGGGGATGCTTCCACGACTCTATATGTGGGGGGATGCTCCCACGACTCTATGCGTGGGGGATGCTTCCACGACTCTATATGTGGGGGGATGCTCCCACGACTCTATATGTGGGGGATGCTTCCACGACTCTATATGTGGGGGGATGCTCCCACGACTATATGTGGGGGGATGCTCCCACGACTCTATATGGAGGGGATGCTCCCACGACTCTATTTGTGGGGGATGCTTCCACGACTCTATATGTGGGGGGATGCTCCCACGACTCTATATGTGGGGGGATGCTCCCACGACTCTATACGTGGGGGATGTTCCCACGACTCTATATGTGGGGGATGCTCCCACGATTCTATTTGTGGGGGATGCTTCCACGACTCTATATGTGGGGGGATGCTCCCACGACTCTATATGGAGGGGATGCTCCCACGACTCTATATGTGGGGGATGCTTCCAAGACTCTATAAGTGGGGGATACTCCCACGACTCTATATGTGGGGGATACTCCCACGACTCTATATGTGGGGGATACTCCCACGACTATATGTGAGGGATGCTCCCACGACTCTATATGGAGGGGATACTCCCACGACTCTATATGGAGGGGATACTCCCACGACTCTATATGGAGGGGATGCTCCCACGACTCTATATGTGGGGGATGCTCCCACGACTCTATATGTGGGGGATGCTCCCACGATTATATATGGGGGATACTCCCACGACTCTATATGTGGGGGATGCTCCCACGACTCTATATGTGGGGATGCTCCCACGACTCAATATGTGGGGGATGCTCCCACGACTCTATATGTGGAGGATACTCCCACGACTCTATATGTGAGGGATGCTCCCACGACTCTATATGTGGGGGGATACTCCCACGACTATATGTGGGGGATGCTCCCACGACTCTATATGTGGGGGGATACTCCCACGACTATATGTGGGGGATGCTCCCACGACTCTATATGGAGGGGATACTCCCACGACTCTATATGTGGGGGATGCTCCCACGACTCTATATGGAGGGGATGCTCCCACGACTCTATATATGGGGGATACTCCCACGACTATATGTGGGGGATGCTCCCACGACTCAATATGGAGGGGATACTCCCACGACTCTATATGTGGGGGATGCTCCCACGACTCTATATGTGGGGGGATGCTCCCACGACTCTATATGGAGGGGATGCTCCCACGACTCTATATATTGGGGATACTCCCATGACTCTATATGGAGGGGATGCTCCCACGACTCTATATATGGGGGATACTCCCACGACTATATGTGGGGGATGCTCCCACGACTCTATATGGAGGGGATACTCCCACGACTATATGTGGGGGATGCTCCCACGACTCTATATGGAGGGGATGCTCCCACGACTCTATATGTGGGGGATGCTCCCACGACTCTATATGGAGGGGATGCTCCCACGACTCTATATATGGGGGATGCTCCCACGACTCTATATGGAGGGGATGCTCCCACGACTCTATATATTGGGGATACTCCCATGACTCTATATGGAGGGGATACTCCCACGACTCTATATATTGGGGATACTCCCATGACTCTATATGGAGGGGATGCTCCCACGACTCTATATATTGGGGATACTCCCATGACTCTATATGGAGGGGATGCTCCCACGACTCTATATATTGGGGATACTCCCATGACTCTATATGGAGGGGATGCTCCCACGACTCTATATATGGGGGATGCTCCCATGACTCTATATGGAGGGGATGCTCCCACGACTCTATATGTGGGGGATGCTCCCATGACTCTATATGGAGGGGATGCTCCCACGACTCTATATATGGGGGATGCTCCCATGACTCTATATGGAGGGGATGCTCCCACGACTCTATGTGTGGGGGATGCTCCCACGACTCTATGTGTGGGGGATGCTCCCACGACTCTATGTGTGGGGGATGCTCCCACGACTCTATGTGTGGGGGATGGTCCCACGACTCTATGTGTGGGGGATGCTCCCACGACTCTATATATGGGGGATGCTCCCATGACTCTATATGGAGGGGATGCTCCCACGACTCTATATGTGGGTGATGCTCCCACGACTCTATGTGTGGGGGATGCTCCCACGACTCTATGTGTGGGGGATGCTCCCACGACTCTATGTGTGGGGGATGGTCCCACGACTCTATGTGTGGGGGATGCTCCCACGACTTTATGTGTGGGGGATGCTCCCACGACTCTATGTGTGGGGGATGCTCCCACGACTCTATGTGTGGGGGATGCTCCCACGACTCTATGTGTGGGGGATGCTCCCACGACTCTATGTGTGGGGGATGCTCCCACGACTCTATGTGTGGGGGATACTCCCACGACTCTATGTGTGGGGGATGCTCCCACGACTCTATGTGTGGGGGATGCTCCCACGACTCTATGTGTGGGGGATGCTCCCACGACTCTATGTGTGGGGGATGCTCCCACGACTCTATGTGTGGGGGATGCTCCCACGACTCTATGTGTGGGGGATGGTCCCACGACTCTATGTGTGGGGGATGCTCCCACGACTCTATGTGTGGGGGATGCTCCCACGACTCTATGTGTGGGGGATGCTCCCACGACTCTATGTGTGGGGGATGCTCCCACGACTCTATGTGTGGGGGATGCTCCCACGACTCTATGTGTGGGGGATACTCCCACGACTCCGACTTTAACATGTGTGGAGAATGTTCCAGCGAGGATGTTCTTGTTTAATGAGTACTGTGACCAGCAGGGGCAAGTTTGGGTCACTCACACTGTACAGTCTTGTGAGTAACTCATACAATGATGACCAAACCACACTTCAGAAGATGATGAGACGACGATTTTTTATTGTTGCCGCCGAAGGCGGCTAGTTTATTGTGCACCCCATACTCATCCTGTGAGCGGTAGCGCAAAAGCATTACAGAAGGCACAAGGGTCTTTATCAGACCTCATCTTAGATTATTACATAAACAATTTCTTCAATCCTTCACACCTTATAGACGATGATGTTTGGGTCCGTCCTGGACCATTATCATGTCCACAATCGACTTGATAATGGTCCAGGACGGACCGAAACGTCGTCTCGTAATCTTCTGGTGTGTGTTTTGGTCATCATATCTTCAGCCACGTTATTGTGACTCGTCGTGCTGTAACATCCATGACCCCCCCCCCCCTCCCGAGAAGCCTTCTCCAAGAGGTCAGCCCAGATGACCTCTGGATTATTTTGTATGTTAATTAAAAAATTCCTGGGTTAGTCTTAGTCAGCTAGTTTCAAGTATGTAATATTTCATGATACTCTTGTCAAACATTGCAATGGAATTAGACCCCAGATTCTTATGTGTAAACATCCATGGATCTCCCCCTTTTAGCCAGGTCAAAGTTCAGTCACACACGTAATTAATAACTCCTCTCTTGAGGAGTGTATGGTGAATGTCAAACAAGCTTAATTGAAAATTCTTAAGTGTTTGTGCGTGTGTGGCCCAGCCCCCTTGCAGTTTTGGTGTAGGTAGCAACAGCAGATCTCCCCTCCCCCCTTTTGGGGTGTATATATTGGTCCTATAGCAGACTTAGGGACAGAGTGCGGGGCACCAGGGTCGAGAGGGGTCTGTGAAGAACATCTCACAGCGGGAGTGACAGTGAATCCACCGGATGGACAGACAGAGGTCTTAAGGTAATGTGTGAGATCTCTGAGTTTTGTTCCATGTCTAAATTTCTTAACTCTTGGCCAGTGTTAGAGTAGGATTTATAAGTGGTGATTAGCATAATTTTGGTCTCAATGAACTCGTGTTAAATTTCCCGTCTGTGTCAATTGTTGAATCCTCTTAGCCTTTTGGATATAGTGGCTGACAACTGTCCCATAATTAATGACAGTTATAGAAAGTACTCTCCAAGTCAAGCAATGTTTCTTGCCTCGTTGCTTGATATAGTCTCAATGGTCAAGGCAGATGGTGGCAGCGTAGTTAATCCTGTGTAGCATTTCCTTGTTGGCAGAGTACCTTTGGTTCCGGTGTAACCATCATATGTCAGCTCATATTACAGTGTTACCAAGTGCAACCGATAGGAAGTGTTACTCAGGATAAGTAGTAGAGTTACTTTATTAGTTTAGTATATACATTATAGTGGTGTTACAATTTAGGGGTGTTACAGTCTGCATTACATACAATACTTGGAGAGGAGGGAGACTGGCTGGGGAAGGAGCCCACTGACAGCCAGGGAAGGGACCCACTGGCAGCCAGGGAAGAGACCCACTGGCAGCCAGGGAAGGGGCCCACTGGCAGCCAGGGAAGGGGCCCACTGGCAGCCAGGGAAGAGACCCACTGGCAGCCAGGAAAGGGACACACTGGCAGCCAGGGAAGGGACACACTGGCAGCCAGGGAAGGGACACACTGGCAGCCAGGGAAGGGACACACTGGCAGCCAGGGAAGGGACACACTGGCAGCCAGGGAAGGGCCCTACTGACAGCCAGGGAAGGGCCCTACTGACAGCCAGGGAAGGGCCCTACTGACAGCCAGGGAAGGGACACACTGGCAGCCAGGGAAGGGACACACTGGCAGCCAGGGAAGGGACACACTGGCAGCCAGGGAAGGGGCCCTACTGACAGCCAGGGAAGGGACACACTGGCAGCCAGGGAAGGGACACACTGGCAGCCAGGGAAGGGACACACTGGCAGCCAGGGAAGGGCCCTACTGACAGCCAGGGAAGGGCCCTACTGACAGCCAGGGAAGGGCCCTACTGACAGCCAGGGAAGGGACACACTGGCAGCCAGGGAAGGGACACACTGGCAGCCAGGGAAGGGGCCCTACTGACAGCCAGGGAAGGGACACACTGGAAGCCAGGGAAGGGACACACTGGCAGCCAGGGAAGGGGCCCACTGGCAGCCAGGGAAGGGGCCCACTGACAGCCAGGGAAGGGGCCCACTGGCAGCCAGGGAAGGGACCCACTGGCAGCCAGGGAAGGGGCCCACTGGCAGCCAGGGAAGGGCCCTACTGACAGCCAGGGAAGGGACACACCGGCAGCCAGGGAAGGGACACACTGGCAGCCAGGGAAGGGACACACTGGCAGCCAGGGAAGGGGCCCACTGGCAGCCAGGGAAGGGACACACTGGCAGCCAGGGAAGGGCCCTACTGACAGCCAGGGAAGGGACACACTGGCAGCCAGGGAAGGGGCCCACTGGCAGCCAGGGAAGGGACACACTGGCAGCCAGGGAAGGGACACACTGGCAGCCAGGGAAGGGACACACTGGCAGCCAGGGAAGGGGCCCTACTGACAGCCAGGGAAGGGACACACTGGCAGCCAGGGAAGGGACACACTGGCAGCCAGGGAAGGGACACACTGGCAGCCAGGGAAGGGACACACTGGCAGCCAGGGAAGGGACACACTGGCAGCCAGGGAAGGGCCCTACTGACAGCCAGGGAAGGGACACACTGGCAGCCAGGGAAGGGGCCCTACTGACAGCCAGGGAAGGGACACACTGGCAGCCAGGGAAGGGACACACTGGCAGCCAGGGAAGGGACACACTGGCAGCCAGTTAAGGGGCCCTACTGACAGCCAGGGAAGTGGCCCACTGGCAGCCAGGGAAGGGACACACTGGCAGCCAGGGAAGGGCCCTACTGACAGCCAGGGAAGGGACACACTGGCAGCCAGGGAAGGGGCACACTGGCAGCCAGGGAAGGGACACACTGGCAGCCAGGGAAGGGACACACTGGCAGCCAGGGAAGGGACACACTGGCAGCCAGGGAAGGGACACACTGGCAGCCAGGGAAGGGCCCTACTGACAGCCAGGGAAGGGACACACTGGCAGCCAGGGAAGGGACACACTGGCAGCCAGGGAAGGGCCCTACTGACAGCCAGGGAAGGGACACACTGGCAGCCAGGGAAGGGCCCTACTGACAGCCAGGGAAGGGACACACTGGCAGCCAGGGAAGGGGCCCACTGGCAGCCAGGGAAGGGGCCCACTGGCAGCCAGGGAAGGGACACACTGGCAGCCAGGGAAGGGCCCTCCTGACAGCCAGGGAAGGGACACACTGGCAGCCAGGGAAGGGCCCTACTGACAGCCAGGGAAGGGACACACTGGCAGCCAGGGAAGGGACACACTGGCAGCCAGGGAAGGGACACACTGGCAGCCAGGGAAGGGCCCTACTGACAGCCAGGGAAGGGACACACTGGCAGCCAGGGAAGGGACACACTGGCAGCCAGGGAAGGGACACACTGGCAGCCAGGGAAGGGACACACTGGCAGCCAGGGAAGGGGCCTACTGGCAGCCAGGGAAGGGGCCCACTGACAGCCTGGGAAGGGGCCCACTGACAGCCAGGGAAGGGACACACTGGCAGCCAGGGAAGGGACACACTGGCAGCCAGGGAAGGGACACACTGGCAGCCAGGGAAGGGGCCCACTGGCAGCCAGGGAAGGGGCCCACTGACAGCCTGGGAAGGGGCCCACTGGCAGCCAGGGAAGGGGCCCACTGGCAGCCAGGGAAGGGACACACTGGCAGCCAGGGAAGGGACACACTGGCAGCCAGGGAAGGGACACACTGGCAGCCAGGGAAGGGACACACTGGCAGCCAGGGAAGGGACACACTGGCAGCCAGGGAAGGGGCCTACTGGCAGCCAGGGAAGGGGCCCACTGACAGCCTGGGAAGGGGCCCACTGACAGCCAGGGAAGGGACACACTGGCAGCCAGGGAAGGGACACACTGGCAGCCAGGGAAGGGACACACTGGCAGCCAGGGAAGGGGCCCACTGGCAGCCAGGGAAGGGGCCCACTGACAGCCTGGGAAGGGGCCCACTGGCAGCCAGGGAAGGGGCCCACTGGCAGCCAGGGAAGGGACACACTGGCAGCCAGGGAAGGGACACACTGGCAGCCAGGGAAGGGGCCCACTGGCAGCCAGGGAAGGGGCCCACTGACAGCCTGGGAAGGGGCCCACTGACAGCCAGGGAAGGGGCCCACTGGCAGCCAGGGAAGGGACACACTGGCAGCCAGGGAAGGGACACACTGGCAGCCAGGGAAGGGGCCCACTGGCAGCCAGGGAAGGGGCCCACTGGCAGCCAGGGAAGGGGCCCACTGGCAGCCAGGGAAGGGACACACTGGCAGCCAGGGAAGGGACACACTGGCAGCCAGGGAAGGGACACACTGGCAGCCAGGGAAGGGACACACTGGCAGCCAGGGAAGGGGCCCACTGGCAGCCAGGGAAGGGACACACTGGCAGCCAGGGAAGGGACACACTGGCAGCCAGGGAAGGGGCCCACTGGCAGCCAGGGAAGGGCCCCACTGGCAGCCAGGGAAGGGCCCCACTGGCAGCCAGGGAAGGGGCCCACTGGCAGCCAGGGAAGGGCCCCACTGGCAGCCAGGGAAGGGGCCCACTGGCAGCCAGGGAAGGGCCTCAAACCCACACAGAAGAATATATAAGCCACAAATGCCTCTTAATCGCCATTGTTCGTACCGAGTAGACAATTGTTCACTTCCGGTAGAGGGTGCACAATGTTTTAGTTTCAACAGCAACACTGTGGAGGTTGAAGACCCTTGCACGTCAACATATGTCTCCTGATTAATGCAGATGGTGCAACCACTGGTCAGGACAAGAATGTAAACTCACACTCAGTATACCTCTTCACTTGACAAGTCTATCAGGTGTAGATAGTGGACTGATCACATGTATATGAAGACCGGCTGCCAAGTCCAGCGTCGTTATGGTGTTGAGTGAGGGCTGACATGTACGGGAATAATATTGACATTGACTGTAGCTAGAAGAACCAGCAGGCAGGAAGTGAGGAGGGGTGAGGGTGGGTGGGTGAGGGGGGTCGGTGGTGGGTAAGGGAGGGGTGAGGGTGGGTGGGTGAGGGGTCGGTGGTGGGTATGGGAGGGGTGAGGGTGAGTAAACCACAGAGCCAAAGTAACGGAAGGAAGCTCCACTGCGGTGTGGTACGAGCAAGCCACTGGGTGCTACTCTTTCAAGCTTTGCAAAAAGCTATCCAGAGACATTGCAGTAGCCATACACAGACTCAGACTTGGTTACAAGTGCTGCTGGGAGGTAATAAACCCAATAGTTAAAGAGTGTCATATATGTGGAACAGAAGCAGAGGCGCCAATATTGCACTACTTACTGGAATGTGAAGCAACTGAATCCTTGTACATCAAAGTCAACATTAATCCAACGACAGCAGCTGTATTAACTCTGTACCTCAGGGTACAATCCTCGCACCACTGCTGTTCCTTATTCTCATATCAGATATAGACAAAAATACAAGTCACAGCTTCGTATCATCCTTTGCAGATGACACAAAAATTAGTATGAAAATTACCTCGGCTGAAGACACTGAAAAACTTCAAGCAGATATTAATAAAGTTTTCGACTGGGCATCAGAAAATAACATGATGTTTAATAGTGATAAATTCCAGGTACTCAGGTACGGTTTAAATGAGGACCTTAAACATAATACAGGATACAAAATACAATCAAATCTGTCCATAGTAGGAAAACAGCATGTAAAGGATTTGGAAATAATGATGTCTGACGACTTAACGTTTAGGGAGCATAACGAAACAAATATTGCGTCAGCCAGAAAAATGATAGGATGGATTACGAGAACTTTCAAATCCAAGGATCCCATCACAATGGTTGTACTCTTCAAGTCACTTGTGTTATCCCGTCTTGAGTACTGCTCAGTACTCACTTTCCCCTTCAGAGCAGGAGAGATTGCTGAATTAGAGGGAATACAGAGAACATATACGGCACCCATAGACGCGATAAAGCACCTAAATTATTGGGATCGTCTCAAAGCTCTCCAAATGTACTCACTAGAAAGGAGACGAGAGAGATACCAAATAATATACACCTGGAAGATAATTGAGGGACAGGTTCCAAATCTATACAATAAAATAACAACGTACTGGAGTGAACGATATGGAAGAAAATGCAGAATAGAACCAGTGAAGAGCAGAGGTGCCATAGACACAATCAGAGAACACTGTATAAACATCAGAGGTCCGCGGTTGTTCAACACCCTCCTAACGAGCATATGAAATATTGCACTTGATTGTTTCCTCCAAGGAGTGCCGGACCAACCGGACTGTGGTGGGTATGTGGGCCTGCGGGCCGCTCCAAGCAACAGCCTGGTGGACCAAACTCTCACAAGTCAAGCCTGTCCTCGGGCCGGGCTTGGGAGTAGAAAAACTCTCAGAATCCCATCAACCAGGTATCAACTAGGCATTAGAATAGCAGTTGAAGAATGAGACACACTAGTGAACACTGTGTATCTGTATCCACCTCGAAGATAATGCTATTAAAACAACACTAAAATCTGTGCGCTAAAACAGAATTTTTTTTTTTTTATTAACATATTAGGTACATGTGCATTAGTGCAGCTGCCCTAGACTATATGAAGTGGAGTACAGTGTGTCAAAAAAAGCTAACTAGGTGATGCTAAAAAATCCCCATCACACAGGATGGTTAGTCATACAGAGGCATGTGATAAGCGGTCTGCTAAAACAGAAGCGGAAAAGAAACAGGGGAAAAGGAGGAAACCCCACCTCCATTTAAAACTTTGACCCAAATATCAGAGTAACAAGGTTGTCGCGAATAACCGAACTCAATTATGGGCTCACCATAGCCAGTGCTACATGGACATTTCGTTCTGAGTAGCTAAATCTAAAACAACGACAACAATAACGGTGAGTAAACTTGGAGTTGGAGGGTGAGTAAACTTGGAGTTGGAAGGTGAGTAAGGATGTAACAGGCACCGGGTAATTGTTGAGTCTAACTAACTGACAATTAACTGAAATACTACATTAATTTACTTTCTAATTACTTCATCTCACTAATTATATAATTACTTTGTAATTAGCAGTAAGTGAATAATTACTATGAAATTAACAGTCTGATTAAAGAGAAAAAAGGGGAACCCCCTAACCACTCACCAGCCACATGGAACTGATCATACTGAACACTAGCTATTATCACACTGTGAATGTGTCCAGGCATGTGTCCGGGCATGTGTCCAGTCATGTGTCCAGGCATGTGTCCGGGCATGTGTCCGGGCATGTGTCCAGTCATGTGTCCGGGCATGTGTCCAGTCATGTGTCCGGGCATGTGTCCAGTCATGTGTCCGGGCATGTGTCCGGGCATGTGTTCAGGCATGTGTCAAGGCATGTGTCCGGGCATGTGTCCAGGCATGTGTCCGGGCATGTGTTCAGGCATGTGTCAAGGCATGTGTCCGGCCATGTGTCCGGCCATGTGTCCGGGCATGTGTCCAGGCATGTGTCCAGGCATGTATCCGGGCATGTGTCCAGGCATGTGTCCACATCACACAGGATGTGTCTGAAGAGAGGAAGGGAATCACATCCTTCAGGTGCCATAATCCCGTGTCCTGTTGTGTTGTCGACTGGTAATCAATTGGACCAGGGTTCGATTTCCGAGCAGAGCGAGACATGAGAGCGCGTCTCCGTACTGCCATGGCAGCACCTCATCTAGCATTAAACAGGCAGGTGATTCAGGTAATTGCTGCGACTGTATCCTGGAAGCTGTATCCTGGAAGCTGTATCCTGGAAGCTGTATCCTGGAAGATGACTGGTGGTTGGCTGTGCGTGTCTTGGTAAGCCTAACAGCCAACCCAGGTATGCATACCTGGTCTTCCTGCCCCAGTCAACGGGCACTCATACATCATGGCTCTGGGAATATACATAGTATACATCATGGCTCTGGGAATATACATAGTATACTGATAGATTAATGAGCACTTCTGCCCCCGCGGCCTTGTCTCTAGTCTATCCTAGTTGATGCCATGACCACTCAGCTTGTTTGTGCTGGCAACCTGATCTATGCACTTCCGTCCGGCTCATCACGAACGGCTTAAAGTTAAGTGGCCTATGACGTGTTTTGGGCACATAACTTACAGGTATATGCCTGCAAGTTTGGTCTGAGTTGTACTTGCCCAGTCATTGACGCGCTTCATTGCTGTATGTACGAGAGAAGATTGTTCAAATATATTACATGCGAATTCTATACATCATCCACCTTCTTCAACAGAACCGTCGGTATAGCACTGATACACATCGTTACCCATACTCTGAGTACTCTCAGTGATGCTGCACAGTGTTAACTGTTTTAAAAATGTAGTGTGCACACTATCTTTCTTGGGCGCATTTACAAAATCAACTGATAGATCCCAGTTATCCCATGGAGTAATTGGTTGATTAATCATTAACTGAGTTGGGTACATATTTAATATTTTGACAGAGTGGTTACCTTGTAAAACCAAAATTCATAATCAGATTTCATACTTGGAGCAATGATAGAGACAGTACAAGGGACAATGATAGAGACAGTACAAGGGACAATGATAGAGACAGTACAAGGGAATGATTGAGACAGTACTATGGACAATGATAGAGAAAGTACAAGGGGCAATGATAGAGACAGTACAAGGGACAATGATAGAGACAGTACAAGGGAATGATTGAGACAGTACTATGGACAATGATAGAGAAAGTATAAGGGGCAATGATAGAGACAGTACCATGGACAATGATAGAGACAGTACCATGGACAATGATAGAGACAGTACCATGGACAATGATAGAGACAGTATCATGGACAATGATAGAGAGAGTGAGGCAGGGAAGGAGGACCAAGCAAGGTTATCCTGACCAGGACAGCAGGGGTGCGCCGGGACCACATTATGCAGGTACACGACCTCTGAGAGAGGTGTAGCGGAGGTACCTGGTGTGCTACACCCGCGGGGGCTCCCCTACCACACACATCAGGGACTAATATGGCTCTAGTAGCTCTAGCTCTAGTAGTTGGCATCCATCAGTCTCTGGAGACTATGGAGTTGCGCTCTGATTATTGATCTGGAGAAGCCTCTCCAGGGCGCAAAGCCATGGTAGGTTGATACTGGGGAGAAGCTGTCACCCATGCAGCAGGTCCCCCCTCTCCACGGCTCGTCCTAACACATTACATAACCCACAGCAAGTCACGTCCCTGAATGTTTATTTTTGATAAATATTTTTTTTGTGTAGTGGGTCTATGAACCCATAGAGATCTGTAACAATCTGACCCGGTCTACTACACCACTACACTACAACACTACTACACTACACTGTAGTGGGCTATTGGGTACAAAGCATGACTAAAGTCCTTTTACAAACCCAGGCAATAATTACATCACATATATCATATATTTGCATAGTAAATCTTGGGTATAGGATGAGTATATCATCAAGTCTTGCAGTATTCAGACAATATTTACAGAGTTCAGCATTTTTTAACCCTTGGGGTCGGGAGTCAGTCAATATGGGACATTCTACATGATAGTGCTCAAGAGAATGCTCTTTTCTCTTGAGCAAAGTTGAGGCGAGGTGGTGAGGGGCCCACCACACCATGACCATAGAGCCAAGGTGGTGAGGGGCCCACCACACCATGACCATAGAGCCAAGGTGGTGAGGGGCCCACCACACCATGACCATAGAGCCAAGGTGGTGAGGGGCCCACCACACCATGACCATAGAGCCAAGGTGGTGAGGGGCCCACCACACTATGACCATAGAGCCAGAGCTCAACCCCCGCAAGGTGAGTGCAGCTCCAGGAGGACGGTCCTGGAGCTGCACTGCCCATATTCTCAGCAAGGAAGAGTGGCAACATTGGTGAACATGTTGCATGAAGTTAGTGAATAATAAGTTTATGATAACAACAGGACAGTATTGCTGGCGAAGTCAGCCATATTGGTCAGATCTGATGGGTCATCAGTAGTCAGGTCTGGTTGGTCATCAATAGTCAGGTCTGATCGGTCATCAATAGTCAGGTCTGATCGGTCATCAATAGTCAGATCTGATCGGTCACCAATAGTCAGATCTATATCAGCTAACAGTGATCGTTACGTTACCTTTGATAAAATTTCCATGTTAGTTTTAACTCAGGTTAAAAACAAAATTATATATAACTAGCTGTACCCAGCCACGTGTTCCTGAGGCTCAGCAACGCTTGTGCGTTGCTGAGCAACAGTAACCTTCCCCTGTCTTCCAGTCCTCCCTATTATTCACCCCTCCCCCATCTTGAGGTTATCTTGAGATGATTTCGGGGCTTTAGTGTCCCCGCGGCCCGGTCCTCGACCAGGCCTCCACCCCCAGGAAGCAGCCCGTGACAGCTTACTAACACCCAGGTACCTATTTACTGCTAGGTAACAGGGGCATTCAGGGTGAAAGAAACCTTGCCCATTTGTTTCTGCCTCGTGCGGGAATCGAACCCGCGCCACAGAATTACGAGTCCTGCGCGCTATCCACCAGGCTACGAGGCTCCCATCCTTTCGTCCTCCCAACCATTCCTCACTCCCTCATCCCCTCGTCCTCCCCACCATCCCCCACTCTCGTCTTGTCCTCCCCACCATTCCTCACTCACTCGTTCGATGCACTCCCAAATGATATGATGTTCCCATCAGAAAATTGAGAACATCAAATGATCTGATGGTTCCGTCACTGAAATATAAGAAAAACAGTTAAAAAAAACAAAATGAAAAAAAAAATAAAAAAAAAATATGCTCACGAAATGAATGGTATGGTAAACAACACAGCTCAATTCCAACGCAATGTCACACAAAATAATGAAATCATAATGAAAATAAATAAAAATACATGAAAATGCAATTTATTAATGAAATTGGAAACATTGAAATGAAATCTTAACATATTTAGTATTGCGAATGTTGTGAGGGAAATCTTTGAAACCTCTTTACCGATTGCTTTGAAAATTTGACACAACGTTGTATTCGAATAAGCGCGTCTTTTTATATATCTACTATATACATGCCTCACCTGTGACAGGGAAAACATGCTTTTTCTGAAAAACAGCGCCATCTGTTGGACGTAAGAGCAACACATGCTGTAATCTCCGAAAACTCTTCACCGATTGCTTTGAAATTTTAACACAACGTTGCATTTGAATAGGCGCATCTTATTATATACCTACTATATAGATGCCACTCCTGTGACAGGTAAAAACATATGTTTTTGAAAAAAACAGCGCCATCTGTTGCATGAAAGAGCAACACACATGCTATACTAGATATGTTACAATTCCATTTCAATGTTTCTGATTGCATTGATAAATTGAATTTTCATAAATTTTTATTTATTTTCATTTTGATTTAATTATTTTGTGTGAATTGCGTTGGAATTGAGCTGTGTTGTTTACCAGACCGATCATTTCGTGAGTATAGTTCATTTCTATATTTTTTCATATTTTCATTTCATTTTGTAACTGTTTTTCTTATATTTCAGTGATGGGAACATCAGATCATTTGATGTTCCCAGTTTTCTGATGGGAACATCAGACCATTTGGGAAGGCATCGGACGAGAGAGTGGGGAATGGTGGGGAAGGACGAGGGGACGGGGGAGTTTGGGATGGTGGGGCCGAGGGGATGGGGGAACGGAGAATGGTGGGGAGCACAAAGGGACAGGGGAGTGGGGCATGGTGGGAAGGAAGAGGGGATGGTGGAGTGGGGAATGGTTGGGTGGCCGAGGAGACAGGTGAGGGGTGACACTACCATTCCACTGGGGGAGGACTGGGGGACAGGGAACACGTGGCCGGGTACAGCTAGTGTATATATATATATATATATATATATATATATATATATATATATATATATATATATATATATATATATATATATATATATATAAATAATTATACCTAGAAGGGGTACCACCTCTGGTGCAAGTGTAGGGACCCATAGCCTCGGAGAAGAAAATAATATATATTTGTTCCTCATTTAAATTAGTTGAGAGAAGAACAGCATTTGATTGTATCCGAGAGGTCAGTCAGCTCTTTAGGGCCCTTACTTGTATGTTATTGATGCTTCGGTCGAGCCGATCTCTTGGAACATCATATACAGTATGTATTGGTTTCTCTCCTCCCACCCTCTCCTCCTCCCACCCTCTCCTCCTCCCACGGAAGTCCCTCCCACTCATTCTCCCACCCTCTCCTCCTCCCACCTTGTGGCTGAGCAAGATCTTCCAGACATTTTCTTTAGTTAGGGGAAAATGGTGTCTTGGCAGGAAGCTTTGTCTTGTTCTTAATATACCCATCGTCGGTGCTGTCGTGGCCGACTCCATCTTAATACTTAAATGTTGTTGTAACACAATGTATACAAGCTCTCCGGGAAGTGTAGGTTACACTCACACAGACGCCGCACCACATCTCTCCACTCACAACTCATATATATTTTGTCTCTGAAAATGAAATTCAAATTTATGTAAATTTGCGCGACTAAAAAGGTTATCATGACCTTGCGTGCAGGACATGCAGCGCTGCTCCTGCATGTGTGT